AAACACATGAGAACTTAAATTTGATATAAAAAACACACATCAGTAGTATTTGTTTTTTTTTATTATGTCTCTTTATCTTTATATCTTTATATATATTTATATATATATATATATATATTTATTTATATATATATATATAAATATTATATATATATTTATATATATATATTTATATATATTTATATCTTTATATCTTTGTAGCCTTTTGAGTTCCTTCAGACCAACAACAAAAAAAACAAAAAACCCAAAATGTATGTGCTATAACATAAGCGCATATACCGCTATTACTACAAGTCCTGCCACTATATAGGGGCTATATATTGGCAGGTCAACTCTAGTACAGTAGTAGTATTTGATATGATCTTAGGGGCCAAAAAAGGGACTTTTTAGCGACTCCAAAATAAGACAAACAGGCAAGCAAGGTAGTAATGCAAAAGCAGGTTTAAAAAAAAAAAAAAAATTTAAAAAAAATCCTGTTATCCTTAGAAGCACGCGTTGTTCCTGGAAATATTAACAGGATGGAAATAGTCCAAGTGGCACACCTAAAAACTTCTCAGATCTCAGATGGTGATTCAGACACGGTAGCAGCGCACAGGCCTGCCCGAGGGCTGCCTCGAGCTTTGCGTAAGACGCGTTTACATTTCATGACGTCACCCAACTTGACGAACGCCTCACCCAAGATAAATTTAACAAGCGGCGCCGTGTTCACTCTTTGTTCATTTCCTTTTTGTGCGTAGGGCCTGGCCAATGAGTCCTCTAATCACAGCTACGGCAGCCTCGGTTCATCCAGTGACAAGGAGTCGGAGGTAAAACACTCACGCACTCACACGCACAGAGATTTACGTAGCTGTTTTCTGTGTACCACCCACCTGCCTTTCTTACCTCTACCGCCGCTCTCTCCTTTCTTCTCCGTGTAGAACTCTGATTTAAAAAGAGGGAGCTCCCCTGCCTATTCAGTATGTACTTCCTTCTCCGACCGAACTCCACCGGCGTCCTGCTCAGATGGGGCAAAAACACCGGGGGGGGTGGGGGGGTGAAATTTATGTCTTTCATTTACCTCTGTTTCGTATTGATTTACAGACTCCGGAGAAGAAGCATTCTGAGTCTTCCAGGGGGAGGAAGAGAAAAGCCGACACCTATTCAGAGAGCAGTCAAGGTACGAGTTCTACCTGTAAAGGAGGGATAACAGTGATAAAAACCTTGTAGAACATGTTCTTTGAGCAAATATTGTCCGAATGTTTGTCTCAAATTAAAGATAACATCAACGCCCGTTGATACGTTCAAAAAAAAGCTCCACACTTTTGGAAAAGTTTTTAGGGTGAAATATGGCACCGAATGAACTTTTAGAACCTCATCTTTCGGGTCGGTCGGTCGGTCGGTCGGTCGGTTATCTCGGCAGCCAGTCAAGCCACTGCTTAATGTTTTTTTAATCCCGATTTGTTCACTCGTCCCCTGCAGGGAAGACGTCCACGCGCGGCCCTAAGATCAGTGACTACTTTGACGTGAGTACCGTTACCGTTAATGTTACTCCTAACGTGTTCCAGTTTGAGCTCAACACCACACACAGTTCCCTCATGATCTCTTCACATTTTGGAAAGTATCAGGGTGGAAACGGTTCCAGTCCGGTCAGAGCGCTTCCATCGGCACGCCGCTCCCCGCAGAATTCGCACTCTGCGCCGGGCCTAATTGTGAGTCACGTAGAAAGAGATCCGATGTGCTGTTTACATAAAATCAGGTATCAGTGAGTGGCAGAAACTTCAGTAGAACCCTCTTTCCTCCCCCTTCCCCCCCCCCCCCCAGATCCGGCAGAATAGCTCTTCTCCAACAAGTCTTTGTTTTGGAGAGCACAATCTCAAAGCATCCTCCAGCAAGTTTGTCCAGGTAATACGACGCGCTCATTTGAAACTGTTGCTTTTGTGTCTTTTTTTTTTTTTTTTTTGCTTCATGCCCACTCACCCGTACTTGTATGTCTCACACTCTTAGACGGCGTTAACTGGGTTGAAACTGGCTGCTTTGGAAAGCAACAAGAGTCTGGACCTGGAGAAGAAGGAAGGCCGAATAGACGATTTGCTCAGGGTGAGTTTGAAGTTTTGTTTTTTTTTATCCCGTCACCGATGTCTGTTACTCACCTACATCTAATGATTTGTTTTTCACTGTCTTTTTTTTTTTTTTTCTAAACCAGGCTAACTGTGACCTTCGCAGACAGATCGACGAACAGCAAAAATTGTTGGAGAAGTACAAGGAGAGGCTCAACAAATGCATCACAATGAGCAAGAAACTGCTTATAGAAAAGGTAGTTTTCCTTTTTTTTTTTTAACCCTCACCCTCGCACTAATAACGCGTTAGAACGGATGTGTCAGCATGTGTGTCAAACTCGTTTGGGTTCACGGGCCGCGTAACACCTTGTTAGATGTTAATTGGCCAGACAAATCATAATCGAATCAACTGTGAATAACAATAAGTCAATGTAACCCCCGCCTTTGTTTTCATGCAAAGAAGTACAAGTATATTAGAATATTATAGTTATTTATTCACATTTAATGAAAATGATTTTACAAAAAAAAATATTCTGAACACGATGTGCGATTTTATTTTGTTTTTAAAATTCATCAAGCGGGCCGGATTGAACACCCTAGCGGGCCTGTTTTGGCCCGCAGGCCATATGTTTGTTATTTGTCGACACAAGCGGCACATGTAGGGGAGAAGTCGAAAGCGTTATTTTTTTTTTTTCCCCTGACGTACTCTGATTAGCTTAGGCTGCTATCTTACCGACGTATATTCGCTGATGTTCTTAGTAGCGTAAGCGAAAAATATATACGTGTCAGGTCTAATGCTAAATGTTGGACGTGCGTGTGTAGTGTGCGATCTGTCGCATATGTGATGACGTCACGAATCACTCGTCGACTCCTGACTCTGACTTTATCGACCGATTAGTCGAAGTGAAGAGATCAGAAGTCAGTGCCGTCGATTCGTATTATTTTTTTTTTCAACGTAGTTGATTCATCGTAATCGTAATTGTATCGTATGAATGAAGTACCCAAAGATATTCACCTCTTATGTATGTATGTATGTATGTATATATATATATATATATATATATATATATATATATATATATGTATATATATATGTATATATATATGTATATATGTGTATATATGTATATATATGTGTATATATATATTCATATTCATATTCATGAATGTTTGCGCAGAGTACTCAGGAGAAACAGTCGTGTAGAGAAAAGAGCATGCAAGACAGACTCCGCCTCGGCCACTTCACCACCGTCAGACACGGAGCGTCTTACACAGAACAGTGGACTGATGGATATGCATTCCAGAACCTAATCAAGTAAGTGATTATAAACTATTTTTTTTTATCTTAAAATGAGCCAACGAAGTTTTTTTTATAAAGCACTTTGTCGTATAATAATATTGACTTTTTTTTTTTTTTTTCTCTCCCGTGTCCACTTCCCAGACAACAGGAGGGTATAAACCAGCAGAGAGAAGACATCGAGAGACAGAGAAAGCTGCTGGCCAAAAGGAAACCTCCGAACCCGGCGTCTCCCTCCGTTTCCTTAGCCTCGGCTTCTGAACCTAAGCAGCGCAAAACTAAAGTGGTCAACGGAAACGATTCGGACCCTTTCCTCAAACCTTCACTGCCTCAATTGTAAGTTTAACTGCAGAAAAAAATAAAAACAGCGGTTGGACCTGTTTTATAATACGTTCAAAAATCCAAATTCTAAACGTTTGCTATGTTTCAGTGAAATTTTTACTTCTGCATTTTTTATTTTGAAAGGCTGACGCTCGCTGAATACCATGAGCAGGAAGAAATCTTTAGGCTCCGCCTTGGGCACCTGACTAAGGTTAGTTGGGGAAAAAAAAAATTGAATTTCAATGAGTCATTGTTAATGTGTTAGAAAATGAATATTTTGATCAATATCTATATATCTATATATATATATATATATATATATATAGATATATATATATCTATATATATATATCTATATATATATATATCTATATCAATATCTATATATATATGTATATATAGATATATGTATATATATATATATATATATATATATATATATATATATATATATATATATATATATATATATATATATATATATATATATATATGTATATATATATATGTATATGTATATATATATATGTATATGTATATATATTCTTTAGGTGTATATATAAATATATATATGCTGTCAATTATCAATTTTATCACTTTTAAAGGTGGGGAGATGTAGACATTGCTAAAAATAACCTGAGGATAAGTTGAATTCAAACTTCGATTATGGCGATTATGAGGCAAAACAGCAATATTAAAAATGTTTTTTTTTAGGAGTTCAGTGTTCTGTATCGCGGTTCTCTTTTCACTCCCCCATTACATCGCAGATTTTTTTTAAGAGATTTTAATCCAATCTCGCCAGATTTTTGCTATATTGCAAAATATAGCAAAAATGTATCAAATTGCGTTATAAAGTAATTACACATACCAACGTTTTGTCCTTGAAAATGTGGATCCTCGTTTCGAAAATAACAATCGCTGGTAGCTTTGTTTGCTTAGATGAGATCGTACACAAAGTATTGGCCAACTCGACGCGTACTCGGGGTGCTGTTGGCTAATTGAGCATCCTCACGCTGATTGGCTCATGCATCGTAGGGTTGATAACAGTGTTGGGGGGCGGTTGGTAAAGTGTAACCCCCTAGCATTAAACCTTTCTAAATGTAGGTTATTATGGTTCCTTTTTTTTAGGAGGAAGCTGAGATCCAGGCCGAGCTGGAGCGATTGGAACGCGTGAGGAACCTTCACATCCGAGAGCTGAAGAGGATCAATAACGAGGACAGCTCATCGTAAGCATCGTTCCCTGCACACACATCAGATTTATAAATTGTTTTATTCAAGTTCATTGTCTTCACCTAATCTCTATTTCTGCTTCTCCTCCCAGGTTTAAAGACCATCCTACGCTGAACGAGAGGTACCTGCTGCTGCACTTGCTGGGCAGGGGCGGCTTCAGTGAAGTCTACAAGGTAGTGCCTTCGGACGAACAGCATGAGTCAATGCATTTTTCAAACATAGTAACTGGTCAAACCGGTGCTGTGTTTTTTAACAAAAACGAACCAAATAGCAATAAGTACAAAACAAAAAATGGAAAGAAAACAACTATTGTTATCAATATTGAATTCACAATTATGAATCGTGATTATCCCTTATGTTATGTAGAACGCAAGTTTAATTTCACATGTTTTTGAACTTAAATTTAAAAATTTTAAAAAATGACTAACCGTGTTAAATATTGCCATAAAAGTGCAATTAATCCAGATTAAGATTTCACAAGGAGAAGTTACTCCTAACTAAAATTTTGAATTTGAAAATGTGTTGTGCAATGCTACTACCAGAGGTGTGGACTCGAGTCGCATGACTTGGACTCGAGTCAGACTCGAGTCATCAATTTGATGACTTTAGACTCGACTTGACAAAATGTAAAGAGCCTTGCAACTCGACTTGGACTTTAACATCAATGACTCGTGACTTCACTTGGACTCGAGCCCCTTTGACTCGACCCTGCACACACATCAGATTTATAAATTGTTTTATTCAAGTTCATTGTCTTCACCTAATCTCTATTTCTGCTTCTCCTCCCAGGTTTAAAGACCATCCTACGCTGAACGAGAGGTACCTGCTGCTGCACTTGCTGGGCAGGGGCGGCTTCAGTGAAGTCTACAAGGTAGTGCCTTCGGACGAACAGCATGAGTCAATGCATTTTTCAAACATAGTAACTGGTCAAACTGGTGCTGTGTTTTGTTAACAAAAACGAACCAAATAGCAATAAGTACAAAACAAAAAATGGAAAGAAAACAACTATTGTTATCAATATTGAATTCACAATTATGAATCGTGATTATCCCTTATGTTATGTAGAACGCAAGTTTAATTTCACATGTTTTTGAACTTAAATTTAAAAATTTTAAAAAATGACTAACCGTGTTAAATATTGCCATAAAAGTGCAATGAATCCAGATTAAGATTTCACAAAGAGAAGTTGCTCTTAACTAAAATTTTGAATTTGAAAATGTGTTGTGCAATGCTACTACCAGAGGTGTGGACTCGAGTCGCATGACTTGGACTCGAGTCAGACTCGAGTCATCAATTTGATGACTTTAGACTCGACTTGACAAAATGTAAAGAGCCTTGCAACTCGACTTGGACTTTAACATCAATGACTCGTGACTTCACTTGGACTCGAGCCCCTTTGACTCGACGATGACTCGAGACTTTCTCCAAAACCCAAAGTGATCTGTGTAAATATATTGTTATTTTGTTTGAAAAGGACTATAAAAGGACTTCGGACTTGACTTGACACCTTTTCAGTCTTGACTTGAGACTTGACTCGGACTTGAGTGCAAAGACTTGAGACTTACCGTTCAACTGCCCACTCACATTCTCTTCTGTCTTTCGTCTCGTCCCACGTGCAGGCTTTTGACCTGTTTGAACAGCGGTATGCGGCAGTTAAAATCCATCAGCTCAACAAGAACTGGAGGGAGGAGAAAAAGGAGAACTATCACAAGTGGGTTTAATCAAGAGATAACGTCGGTTGCGCTAAAGAAAAGCAGCAGCAGCAGTAGTAACGGTCGACAACACTGACATCTATTTGCTTTCAGGCACGCCTGCAGGGAGTACCGGATACACAAGCAGCTGGACCATCCCAGAATAGTCAAACTGTACGACTACTTCTCTCTTGACACTGACACGTGAGTGATCTTGGACCTCCTGTCATTTGACATACTGTAAATTCTCCACGTTGCAGTTAAAAGTGTCTCCGGACTTGATTACAAATGTCGCACAGTGGTGCAGTGATTGTGGCAGGCATGGGCAAACTACGGCCCCGGGGGGGGACTGGATACGGCCCGCCAAACTTGTCTAAATATATAAATATATA